TGTGGTTGTTACCCATTTCGACTAAAGTGGTCTAAGTGCTTTTTCTTTGTATTTCTCCTTCTTGGGTTTTTCTGAGCTTCATGGACCTGCAGACTGATGCTTTGAGATAAAGTCTGGGAAATATTCAACCATTATTTTCTCAAGTATTTTTTTTTTTTCTTCCTCATTATCTTTCTCTCCTATCTTGGGTCCTTAAGCCCCTGTGTTATAAACAGTATGGTATTATTCCACTGGTAATAAGGGCTGTTTTTAAAAAAGGAAATCTGTTTTCTCTCTTTCTATGATTAAATAACTTCTATTCAACTGTTCTCAAGTTCACTGAGTCTGTATCTGCCATCTCCAATATATCATTAAGTCCATCAGTGATTTTTTTCACTTTAGAAATTGTAATTTTTGTTTCTAGGATTTCCACTTATGTTTTTGGTTTTTATCTGTTAAAATTCTATATTTGTTCACTGTCTTTTTGTAGAATTTCGATTTCGCTGCTGAGTTACTGGGTTTCCCTTGTGGCTTAGTGGTAAAGAATCTGCCTGCTAATGCAGGAGATGCAGTTTTGATCCATGAGTTGAGAAGATGGCCTGCAGAAGGAAAGGACAACCCAGGCCAGTATTCTTGACTGGGAAATCCCATGGACAAAGGAGCCTGGCAGGTGACAGTTCATGAGCTTGCAGGAGAGTCGGACATGACTTAGTGACTGAACAACTGAGAGTTTCTAGCTATTTATTCATTATGACCACATATTTTGCTTTAAGTCCCTAAAAACATTTCTAATAACTGCTAAAAATAGTCCTTTTATGTCCTTGACTGCTAAATTCAACATCTGGGTCATCTTGGTGTCTGTTTCCTCTGATTGCCTTTTTCTGGATTATTCATCACGTTTTCCTACTCTTTTACCTGTCTAGTAATTTTAGGTGGGAAAACTTTGCTTCCCTCCTGAACATTTTGAATGATACATTGTAAAGAATCTGGGTTAAATTAACTTTTTTTTGTTTTTAATGACTGTTGAGTTTTGTTTCAGCAGGCAGTTATATGTTAGAAGTTCTGTCAAAGCTTGGTTTTAGGGTGTGTTAGATTAGATTAGCTACAGAATATTCTTTACAAGTAGGGTATCCATATAATTTATGGCCTCTTTGTAGTTTACCTGAATACCAGATGTGTTAATGAGATCTCTCCCCTCTCAGTGGATCTTTAACATTTTCCTGCATCTGGTGCCCTCTAGAATGGCCATTCCAGCCTCTATTTTGTGGATGCTGCTTTCTCTGAGGCCTCATAGGGTTGGTTTCATCAGACAGATGTGTAATGCCGGTTTTGACCAAGGACTTGGGAACTCCTGTCTGCAGTTCCTGCTTTTTCAATCCCCTGCCCCACAAGTTCTAATTGTGTCAGAAGCCCTGAACTCTATTTTATGATTCCCCAGGGAGAGTGCTGGGACTCCACTCCCTTTATAAAAGTTGGGAAATTGTACCAAACTAAAAAGTTAATGAGAAGATGGGAGTTCATTTACATATTTGTCTTCTCCCAGGGATCATATTGCCTAAAGTCCAGGACTTTAAAACATTTCCCACATATGTTTTCTCCAACATTATACTTGTTATGGAAGGAGGACATACTTGGAACTACTGACTCTATCTGAGCAAGAAGTGCAAGTCTAAATAGGCTTTTAAATTTTGAATGATGAAATATGCAATATTTTATATGTAAAGAAAAAAATGGAAAATATCACCGCACCCAGACCAAAGTCAGTATTTTTCCATGCTTGCCTCAAATATGTGGCTTTTTCTCAAAGAATCAAAACTTTACAGATATAATTGAAATACACTCTTTTGGTTATTTACTGCTGTATATACCACTCAGGGCTTCTCTAATGGCTCAGTGGTAAAGACTCCAACTGCAATGCAGGAGATGCAGGAGACTCATGTTCAATCCCTGGGTTGAGAAGATCCCATGGAGGAGGACATGGCAATCCACTCCAGTATTGCCTGGAAAATCCCATGGATACAGGAGCTTGACAGGCTATAGTCAATGATGTTACAAAGAGTCAGACACAACTGAAGCAACTGAGCACAATATACCATTCTACAGCTTCTTCATTTTAAACAACATTCATTTCTTTATTCGATATTCAGCAAATTGGGGACTTCCCTGCTGGCTCAGACAGTAAAGAATCTGCCTGCAATGCAGGAGATGAAGGTTTGATCCCTGGGTCATCTAGATCCTCTGGAGAAGGAAATGGCAACCCACTCAGTATTCTTGCCTGGGAAATCCCATGGAGAGAGGAGCCTGGTGGGCTACAGTCCATGGGGTCACAAAGAGTCAGACATGATTGAGCAACTATCAATTTCACTTTTTGACAAATTGCTCCAGATCAGTGAAGATAGTTTATCTCTTTCCCACATGATTTTATCTGTAATGTCTCAACTGGATTTTGAAGATTCATTTTCAAAATGCTTGGCAGTCCTCTTGGTGTTAGCTGTCAATTGGGAGCTCCACTAGGGATTCAGGCTTGGGATCTTTGTTCCCCTGCAGAAAGCCTCTCCACGTGGCTAGATGAGCTTCTCACAGCATGGAGATGTTAGGACAGTCACATTTCTTACAAGGAAACTTACTTCTCTCAGAGAATCAAAGCAGAAATTGACTAGTCTTAATGTCAGGGCTTTCAAGTCTCAGAATATTATTTCTGCTGCATTTTTACTGGTCAATGTAGTCACAGATCCAGCCCAAATTCAATGGGAGGAGAATTAGACTCCATGTGTCGATGAAGGTCTATAATGTCATTATACAAGAGGGCATGTATGATAGGAACCAAGACTGTGGTCATTTTTTGCAAATATAATCTATAACTCATAATCTTCTGCATTCCTTATTCCTTCCCCTCCTCCTCTACTCAGAGGTAGCCACTGTAATCAATGTTTAAACTTCTTATTCATATTTTTATACCTTTATTAAAGCTCCCTCTAGCACTGAACACTTTTCATACTTCAAGCATTCTTTACATAGAGCCAAACAAAATATTGAAGAAATTTCACAAATGTATAACATGACAGAAATTCCTTAGATGTATTTATCCAAGAATCTTCTAAGGCCATTACAGTGCTAACAACTTGAGTTACACAAGTTTATCCTATTTCCTTCTATCAATTTGAATTTATAGTCTTGCCCTTTTAGTTATAGGTATCATGGGGAAAATAACATGGAGAAAGAAGATTCCCAAATTATGGGTCTCCTGCAGAAAAACTGAGTATGCAGTTTATCTTTAAGAGTGCATTCCAATCTTTTCTAGGTGGAAGATCTTTTAATTTAGACCTTCCTTCATTCATAATTGTTTGCAGTTACTTTTGGTTGAAAAAATATATATCCACAGAAAGTTATGCTGATCTTAGTAATGTTTATAAACAATTTTATATGTGAATCACAAATGTACCTGAGTTCATTTAAAAAATGGAATTATGTTTTATGAGAGATTTATTATTTATACAATTTGCAGAAATGATAGTAACTCCATCACACAAGATATTTTTCCTCCAGAGGCTAGGAATTTTTTGCCATAGCTCACACTGCTGTATCTTGCTTTAGCTCTGTCTTAGGTCATGATCCTCCTCCTTGCATGAGTCAGAACCTGTGCCAGAGTACTTAACATCCCTGGATGTGAAGCCTGTTGACATCTTACCTCATTGCTGCCAAGTCTCTTGGATGAGAATCCCTTGCTCTGGCTCCATGTGGAGTCACTTTCTTCATTGTTGTCTCTTGCCTGCACTCTCGTGGCAGCCATGAAAAATCTTCCAAATGACAGTGGTATCCATACTTACTTTTTATGGTCCTTATTATTTCACTTAAGAAATGTATTTGTATGTAAGAAATAAATGCCCCATAAGCAAAAGTTAGCCTTCAAGACATGGTTATAAATAAGTTAAAGTTTCCTCTTGGCAAAGTTAGTGTTCTGTCTTTTTAACCTATTTGTTTCTCTAAATCTTTTCAAGGATGTCTACAATCTGGTAAGGTCTAGATTTTTTTCTTAAAACTCATTTTTGAAAAGAAAATATTGAGAAATTTACTTTTAAAATATTGTTTGATCAGCATTTTAATACTTCTTTACCAAATACTTCATTCAACAATGTATTCAGTACAGTTTCATGAGCAATTATTATGTGCCAACAGTATTCTATGTACTTAGGATTCAGTAATAATTCACATAGGCAAAGATCCACTCTTCTCACCCAACTAGACAGATGTATTGAATAAACATATAAACCTGTAACATCTGCAAGAATAACTTATGTAGATAGAAAAAAAGAGTGGACAAATACAGAATGTCAGATAAGTTCAGGAAATATCTCTCTGAGAAGGTAGCATTTGAGTAGACACTTGAATGAAATTAGGGGAGCATGTCATGGAGTTGTTTGGCAAGAGGTTGTGTAGGGTGAAGGCTTTCCAGGAAGAAGGACCACTTAAGTCAAAGGTACTGATGCAAGAATATGCACGGCCTAGGAGGAACAGCAAGGTGTCAGGATGAGAGAAGGCCTCTTCCTTTCCTACAAGAGGAAGGAAATGAAATCAGAGTGGTAAGGGTGATTCCAGTAGACTATGGTATGCACTTTGGATTATATTCTAAAGAAGATGGAATGCCACAGAGATTCAGGTACAAAGGAGTGACAGTCTTTGATTCATATTTGAAAATGTGGGTGATTCTGCAGATTCTCCCCACTAGTGGTTACCAGTGGGGAGGGAAAGGGAAGGAGAGAGGAGCAACATAGAGATGGGAAATTAAGAGCTACAAACCACAGGATATATGGTACCACACAGGAAATGTAGCCAGTATTTTATAACAACTATAAATGAAGTATAACCCTTAAAACTGTGAATCACTCTATTACACACCTGTAATGTATAATATCATATATAAACTATAACTCATTAAAAACTCAGAAAGCAGAGAAAAGAGATAAAAAGAAAGGTATTTTTTTGTGTGTTTCACATGATTGAGTCACTAGATCCATCCTCACCTGAAATCTGTCCAGAGATGTTCAGTTACAGGAGCCAACAAGCTTCCCTCTCTCGTGCACATCAGTATGGGCCATGTTTTCTGATACTTGCCACCAGGCACCTCCTGCCTGCTAGGAGCAGCTTTCCATGTACATGCTGTCCACAGTTCTCAGGCAGAAAGTTGTCACCACCTGGCATCTCAGAACACAGGAAACAGTCACCCCAGAAGATCTGCAAACCATTTGAGGCTTAGGTTTGGAGAGTCACATCATGTTCTGAGAGAGGAAAGACCACCTTTGGAGGATACGCTGTTCAAAATCCTGGAGGAATGGATCCCAGGAACTGTTAGAGCCGAGAACATCACCTGGCATCAGCTGATCTCAGCTGTTCCCCAAGCAGTGAGGGCTGGGCGTCCTTCCTGAAACAGAGGGTCTTTGGCAAACTGGCTTCTGGATACTGATGTGTTTATGGTCATATCCACCAGTTGCCGGAAGCATGGGGTGGAAACTGATTCTGAATGCACAGTCTCTGTAAATACAGACATCCTGCTTTAACATTTATTTCTGCAAACGTTTTACCAGTTTGTGCTCCTTTCAGGACAGTTTGGGTTCATGATGAACAGGACTACCTGGGCTTCTTCTCTCCTTGCTTCCCTGGGGCTGGTGAACCCCAAGGGGTCCCAGGGCTGAGTTTAGCTGGCAGGTACTGGCCTTACATTCCAGTCCCAGTAAATCCTCTGCTAGGCACTTGAAATCTTTTAGGATTGCCATAGGGTGAGCTTCCCGGAGACTGTTCTCCCCAGTTGTCTTGATTGTCATCAGTTTGAAAGGAATTCTAGTCTATTGACCATAAGCATCAACAGCCTGTTGCCAGACGGGATCTGCATCTTAGATACCCACCAAGGACTCTGCACATGACCTTACCTCTCCCTTCTTCAGCTTCCTCCTCTGTCAAATGGAGATAATAAAACCAAACACACACACACACACTAAAAAAATTATTTTTAATTTACATTTCAATGGGAGTGTGGCTTTGGTGCATTTTCAGCAGAGAGTGAATTGGATACCTGGATTCAGTCCACCATCTTTACTGAAACATCTCCATTCACTTTTTTCTTCTTAATAAATATATTTTATTGATGTTTAATTGACTTATTATGTTTCAGGTGCACAGTAAAGTGATTTGGTTATACATATACACATTGATTTTTTTTCAGATTATTTTCCATTATAGGTTATTCCCTTTGTTGCTTGTTACATGTCCATTTTTTAAAAGTAGAAATCTAGCATTCTATTCATACTGAGTCAAACAGGTGGAATCAAAATGTCACAAATTTTTTAGTTAGGCAAAAACTCATGTTTTCTAAAATATAAATGTTATACATATGAGGAGAAGGGGACGACAGAGGATGAGATGGTTGGATGGCATCACCGACTCAATGGACTTGAGTTTTGGGGAACTCCGGGAGTTGGTGATGGACAGGGATGCCTGGCATGCTGCGGTTCATGGTGATGCAAAGAGTTGGACACGACTGACCAACTGAACTGAACTGAACTGATATGTATACAAAAAACCCTGTAATCTCTCCCAACTAATTACTTAATTACTCTCTCCCAACTCTCCTATCACTACCTCCTTATGAATAACCTGGATGTCAATCGAAAGTTCTCTTTTCCAGTCCTTGTCGCCCTTATTTTGTCAACACGTTTGACACTACAGCCAATCAAACCTTTAAATGAATATGAAACTTAGCAGCTGGATACATGAAGGCAGAACTCATGGAGAATTTGGGTTGAAAATACAAGTTTTGGGGTTTGTCAGAATATTAGGTTGAATCACATTACTTGTCAATTATTTTTCAGTCAAATTTTGCCATACTGGCAATTTCATTTACCCGAGACTTAATAAAAGCAAAGAGACTGGGTAAATAACTAAAAGTAATAAGAATAGTTAGGAAGGAATAGTTTGAATAATAAAGTGCGGTCTGAAACATTCCAGCATTTGAAGGTCTAGGAAATTGGGAGGAACCCTTAAAGAATGTCACATAGGAGTGTGTGTGTATGTGTGTTTAGTTTTGGTGTACATTCTAGGGGTGGTCAGTTGCCTAACTAGGAATACAAACTGCAGGTGTTATAATCTAGGATTTTACCAGAAGGCTACACCCTAAAGAAAATTGTAATAGGAACATTAAGCTATTTTCAAAAATTTTAGATTAATAACAGAAATTTCATAGTACAATATAATGAATATTAGAAATCAGTTTAAATTTGGGGATATTTGAAATATATAGATACGTGAATTGGCTGAAATATTTTAAAGAAATTCCCCACTCTTTTTTGGGTAGGGTGTAAGAACCAAGAGAACCTTTCAGTCTTTAATTTGTACAATGGTGCTCAAGGCATGATTCCAAAATAATGTTTGTGCTTACACAAATCTTTTATGGACTGTGTAGTTAGAGGCCATAAAATGATAAGGAATTGAGACCTTATTAAGTTTTCAGAGTGGATTTTATGACTTTTTGTACCTAAATGTGTGTATATATGAATTTGGTTTCAGACATACTTTTCTTATAACCTGGTAAAAACAATTCAGGTGGAGTTTCTAGCTTATGTGTGTGTGTTCAGTTGTGTCTGACTCTGTGACCCCATGGACTGTAGACTGCCAGGCTCCTCTGTCCCCAGGGTTTCCCAGGCAAGAATAATGGAGTGGGTTGCCATTCCCTTCCCCAGGGGATCTTTCCGAACCAAGGATAGAAACCTCATCTCCTGTATCTCCTGCATTGGCAGGCAGATTCTTTACCATTGCGCAACCTGGGAAGCCTATAACTATCTTCAATAATTGGTAGATACCAGTATTCAGAAGAACCCTCAAAAGTGAGCTTATATTGTTTGAATCATTTTTTAACAACATGTCTAGTGGTGTAGAAAAGTGAGGGAGATAAATGAGGTAAGTGAAAATACAAAAACTAAAACAAACCCCAAACAAAAAAAATGTGTTAAGAAGATGAGTTGAATCATATCTATTATATGGAAATAGTAAGCCAATAAGAGGAAAGCTGAGAATTAACCCCTGGATTTGGCAACATGGAGATCATTGTTAATTCTAATAAAAACAGCTGTTTTTTAGAGCAATGAGGCTAAAAAGTATGATTGAAATAGTCAAGAAAGACTGAGAGAATAGGAAGTGGAGATCATATGAATAGATGAATATGTTTTGTGGTCTTACAGTGATCATAAGAAATGTAGATGTTGTTAAGGAAAACAAAGCAATGACACTTTGGCATATCTCAACTATATTAATCAGAGTCTAGGCAAAAGAAGGCACACTCAAAATGGTTAAACTGGAAAGAATATAATTAAGGGATTATTTACAATGGTGTGGGTATGGTTAAGGGAACCAGCAACAGTGTGAAGCCATTACTACTCTAGGCCTGAAGGGGCACTGTAGAGAAATGGTATTATGAGAGACTCATCAGAGCTGGAACACTGGGAAAGAGGCTTCTAGACAGGCATTGTAGTCAGAGAGATACAGTATGACCAAAATTTTGGCCTAGCTAGCATAAAGGAAAGGCATGTAATACACACCCTCACATTTCTCTCCTTATTTTTATTTATTTATTTTTTTATCTTTTGCCAGTGTCGTGCACTGGTCTAACTCAAAAGTAAGCCACAGGGCAAGCCGACCCTGGTGATGTTTTCATAAATGTCACCCTCCCAGAGCACAGGATGACAGAGAAATAAAGACAATGAATCTGGGGCAGGAAAACAGACAATACTGTTATTATACATATTCTCCATGACCACGGGAAGTTATAAAAAGAAAAAGTCATAGAAGGCAGGTGAAGGAGTCTTTTGGGTCTAGAAAAGAAAACAACAGTCTCAAAGGCCCTTGCTGAATCATCTAACTTCGGAGAAAACAAAACAGAACTTTAGTTCAGCCCTGATGCTCCAGGCCTGTTGCATCTATCTGGGACTTATCAACCCCTGTCCAGAAACCTTCCACCCCCTACACCTGCCCAGAAGACTTATCACCCCCTGCCCAACTACAAATGCCATCTCAACTAAAGAATACCCCAAACACCCCGCCTGATTAACATTTCCCTTATCACTTCTACAAACCTTCCTATAAATATGGAGCCTCCCTGATCCCTCTTGGCGCTCAGCCTGGCCCTTAGGCCTAGTGTCGCCCCTCTTTGCCTGAATAAAGGTAACCTACTTCTGTTGAGGTTGTCTTTCCTTTTCTGCCTCGGCCCGAACTATATTTTACAGCAGGCAACTTAAAAATCCCCACAAAGCTACCTTTCTAATATTTCTATTTACACACTTAATTTACTGGGTGTTCTTTCTGCCTAGTAAGGCTAAAGTTAGCCTAAGTTAGCCTAAAAGGCTAACCTTTTCTGAAAATGGTCCAATAGTAAATATTTTATAATTTGAGTACAAAGAGGCAAGATTGAAAATATATGCTGTATTTCTATAAGCACTTAAATGTAATCATTTAAACACATAAAAAGCAGCCATTCAAATCCAGTGGGCCAGGGTTTGCCACCCTCTGGCTTAGAAAATCCTCTTAATTTTTTGCCAATCTTAGTCAATGAATGCCAAGTCCCAATAAACCCTCCTCCATGTGGCCTTTCATACAGTTATTCTTTGAGCTGTTGAGTGACAGAATATCAACTTTTACTAGTTTAAGGTAGTAAAATGTGCTAGCCTAAACTGAGAAGATGCTGGAGGTAAAGACCAGAATCCAGAGCAGTGGGATCTCAAGGACCAGCTCATTCGCTACTATGGTAACACCAGAACACACCCTCTTCATCTCTACTGTCCTCTTACCTTTACTTCTGTCTTCAGTTTGGCCTCATTCTCTATTAAGAAGAGTCAACGCTCCTCACAAGAAACAATGCTTATCTGTCCTTCTTTATATAATAACCCCAGAGAAGTACTCTGCTTGACTTGTCTTGGTCACACACCCATCCTTAGATGAATGTATGTAGGTGAGGGAGGAAGCTTGTTGATGGTGGAGAGGTTCTTTGATTGCACAAGCTTGGGAGAGGAGGCTCCTCCCGAAGACGACTTCCCGAAGGGAGGGAGAATTCTGTTGCCAGGAGATGCTATTTCGGGGAAAGAAAAATGTCACAATTATAGACCAATGTGTGACATGCCAGAAGAGGGAGATGTCTGACGCACGTTATCACCCACAGTATCTAACATCGCACTCTGGAGACGTTCATGCATTTTTGATGAATGAATGACTCAGTTCCCTCAACTGGTTGTGAACATTCTCTTAACTGGCCTAGTTTCTGATCAGCTGCTCTCTAGTTCTGTACATTGTAGTAGAGAGTTTTTAATGCCCAAACATTATCTTTCCTCGAATCCCAGAGAGCCAGGCACACAGGAAGCATCCCGTGGAAAGAGCCCACTAATGGGGACTACACCGGCCACAGTAACGACTGTTGTGGGGGATCCGTGCGGCCTTTTGGCCGAGGACTTCAGGACACAAGGCCCCCGCCGACAGACGCGACCCTCCCTTGGGAGGGAGGCAGGGCGCGGGGGCGGGGGCCCTAGCCTCGGGCGCGTCACTCGGCACAAAGGAGACAGTAGGGAGGCGGCCGCAGGAGCCGATCTGCGCTCGCCAGCCACTGAATTGCGGTTACAGACCTGCAGCTCCCCTCCCCCTCCCCACCCAGGCCCGCCCGCCCGCCTTTCTGTCTCCTCTCTCCCTCCGTACTGGCCGGCCCGGGTCCATTTCCGGGCTCCGGGTATTTGGTATTGATCAGGGCCGGGGGCGCGGGAGCAGGTGGCTGCGGCGGCGCAGCCTGCGGCGCCCGGGTCCGTCTCCCGCCGTCTTTGTCGCCAGCCCTTGCCCGGCGGCCCGCCCCGCCTTCCGGGCCCGAGCGCTGCGGGCTGGACTTTGCGCCGCGTCGGGCGCTGCTGCTGCTGCGCGCCGGGCCGTGCTCTGTGCAGGCGGCGGCCGGGAAGCCGGAGGCGAAGTGCAGCCTGGACCCCAGGCCATCATGGCTGAAGTCACCATCGACCAGTCCAAGCTGCCGGGAGTCAAGGAAGGTAGGGGCCGGGCCGTGGAGCGCGCGCCGGGCCCCTCCGGCTCCCAGCGCGGGGCCTCTCCGGCTCCCAGCGCCGGGTCCCTCCCGAGGGAGGAGGGCCTTCCTAGTCTCGGCGGCCCCCGCGGCCTTCGCCTGGTGCCCACCGGGTGCCGGCCCGCCCTGGCCTGGAGGGAATTGAATTCCGGCTCTGCTGTGGGATCTTGGCCAAGTCACCTAAGTTCTGAGCCCCAGTTTCTCCCCAGCGTCGGGAGATGGGGGGCGAGGGCAACACCACTCTCATCAAGTGGTTGTGCAAAGGTTCTCGGGAGTAGCCGTGCCGTTAGTGAAAGCTCCAGAGCTGGGTGCCTCTGACTTATTTCTCTTCTTAAAAATTCAGGCTCAGCCTGACTGGCTTGAAGGCTGGGAAGTGGGGAGTGGTTGACGTGCAGTTCCTTGTGGAACCTTTGTTTTGAAACTTGACTCTTTCCCTCCTTCTGTCTACGTTTCCTAGCTGCTGCGTCTGGCTGGCTGACTTTCCCACCTTCTTCCAGGTTTAAAAGTTTAGTCTGGGCACTGCCCAACGCGAGCAGCCAGATGGGAAGCTGCTATAAATAAGTATTTTCTCACAAAAAGCAGTAAGCCAGGGGGAGCAGGGGACTCATTGTGATCTTTATTTTAACTAGCTTCCTATACTGATGTCCACAAAGAGTAAGAGGTTGATTACTACTGGTCTGGCTTGACTTCTAGCAAGACGCCCATTGACTTCTTGCCTCTTGTCTTCATCCTAGACCTTTTTTTTTTTCTCCAAACTGAGCTCTTGGGTGCTGGATTGCGATAATCTTTAGTAATCTTAGGCTGTTATTTGTCCCTGGGAAGCGTAGCAGTCCCAGAGTGCTATCTGGGCTTGCAGAGATTGTCTTTGTAGTGGATGTCATTTGTTTCAGCTGACTCTTGTGGTCTTAGTTGTCCTGGGAAGGTGGAATTAATTGAAAAGGATCTTTGATTTCTTGGAACTGTGTGTTTGATTGCCAACCTGATTTGACTCATAGGGTCTTGTGGCTGCTAGGGCTCAACCCAGGATCTAAAGAAAGCTTGACTGCTTTAGGCCCCAGAGTTTCAAACACCAGGAGACAGTCGCTGGTTTTGTGTAGAGTTTTTAATGCTTAAAATTAAAAATTTTTAATGTTTGGACCTGTCCTGTTGTTCCTAAAGGATGTTAGAGTTTTTTAGGCCGGAGATTATTTAGCAAGTGGTGTTTTTCAACCCTTGAGTTCCTATCCTGGTTTTGGTAAAGGTCCTTGCATTCATATGTAAATAATTTTTTCTTTGCCCTGTCGACTCTGCAGCATGAGTGGTGGGAAAGGCAGATTTGCACTGTGAAAGTCCTAGTCTTAGAGATTGTCTTTAACCTTTGCGGTATGAAGTTGTGTGTGTGTGTTTTGGATGTCTGGAGAGAAAAAGTGATCCTTGTATATATAATGAGTAGGATGAGAATTGGAGTTCAGACACAATCTCAATTTGTAAACTAGGGCTTCCCTGTCAGTAAAGAATCTGCCTGCAGTGTTGGAGATCTGGGTTTGATCCCTGAGTTGGGAAGATCTCCTGGAGGAGGGCGTGGCAACTCACTTCAGTATCCTTGCCTGGAGAATCCCCGTGGACAGAGGAGCCTCGTGGGCTACAGTCCACGGGGTTGCAGAGTCAGACACAACTGAGCACAGCTCACAGTCGTGTAGTGCTAGGAATTTACCTTGCTCGCTCTACATGTTAGTGACCTGAAACGAACTTGAAACCCACTTTCTTTCTGTGTATGCATTTATATTACTCTTAGGTCTTCTGGTTTCTAACCAAGACATGAATGGTTTATTCTAGAATATTCTTTCTCAAGGGTTTCAACAAACACTTTACACCTATAAATGCAAGATTTTTCCATTGCTAAACTCTGGAGTTTAACTCATTTGGATTGGTTTTCATTTTGCACAACTTGGTGTGAGGCAGTCCAGTTTATATAATACAGTAAAGTGGTGTGGGAATTTATGTGGCTGTTTGATTAAGTTAGAATTACATATATTGATTTACTTTGAAGGTGGTCAGAAATTGTTGAGATGATCATTTTGTGAGCATCGGATTTTTCTGGTTCAAAGATCATCAAAGGAAATGATACACTGTACTAGGAATGTCCTAATGGTGGTGTGGTTTTTGTTCTGGGAAGTATTCACTCTCTAATAAAGTGTATCTTTCTCTAATATAACTCTTGATTATAGTCTGGTTGCTCCCTAATGATTTTTTTGGACCCTAATTAAAGAAAATAAAGTTGGTGACCATGATTGGGTAAAACATACACAAACATTGAGACTGTTCTTAATACTGAAACTCCAACTCAGTTTGAAAAGGAAGTTTAGTAATAGTTTGCTTAATATTCTGGCACAGATTTTTAAACTCCAGTTTTAAAAACTCTCTACTTATCTTATTAACGTAAACCTTTATATACAGTTACAATTTGGAATCATTGGGCAGATTCCAGTAGAGACAGAGAAGAACAATGCAGTGGATGTCTGCCCCGTCCCACTGCCTTTTCTTTAGGAAGGGACCGGGCGCCCTGGGATTTTTTTGTGAACATCTCAACAGAGGTCATGGTAGCAGCTGACTTTAGGGAAGGGAAATATTTGAAAACTTTTTCTTCTAGGTTAAAATCTATTACTTGCTTAGTTTTAAGATGGTCAAAGATACTCATCATTTGGACAGACCTTTGAAAAAATAACTACTGCAGTATTTTTACTTTGGGAAATCTCTCTTAAAATAGGAGACAGAGATGTGTTTGAGATCATTTGTAATGAAAAGAATTAAGTCAAGAATTAAGTCTAAGATGAATTTTAACACACATCATTGTTTCTGGGTTTAAAAGCGTTTTTTGGAACATCTGCATACTTTTTGTAATGGAAATACTGTTGCTGTTGTTTAGAAATAATGCTTTATTTCTTTGGAAACATTTGAGGTTCTCCACTACAAGATTTGAAATAATTCTCGACCATTTTTTTATATCACTAGATGTATATCTCAAATGCATCATGCAATCTGTGAATGCTAGACAGAAGTGTTCTCCAATAGAAAAAAGTTCCAACAATATTTCAATTTTTTTTTTTAGTTTAGATCAAAGCTTTTTTTCCCCTTAAAAAAAAAAAAGAGCACTTTCATTAGTTAACTAACTTAGATTTTTTGGTCAGTTTTAGCTTCTTTGCTGAATTTTCTTTCTGAAACCACAATCCAGATGCCCCACTTTTTGCTCTCTCAAGTCTGATTCCCATCTCTGTGTGTCTGACTCTATGTGACACCCAAGGACTGTAGCCTTCCAGACTCCTCTGTTGATGGGATTTTCCTGGCAAGAATATTGGAGTGGATTGCCATTTCATCGTCCGGAGGGTCTTCCTGTCCCAGGGATCAGACCCATGTTTCCTGTATCTCCTGCTTTGGCAAGCGGATTCTTTGTTGCAGAGACACTGGGGAAGCCACTCCCATAGCTCTACTTCGTTTTAATTGCTCACTGCTAATCTTGCTCTTTCCTGTATTTAGCAAAGTTTTCACATTATCTTAAGATTTTGGTCTGAGAGATGTAGACTATGAATCAAAGTCATTTCTAGACTCTTTGAAGTTTATTAACTCCTTTGCAGTTTTTTAGTCATTAGCGTTTTCCCACTTTTAAACATTGAACACGTAATATATAATCTACAATCCTCTCATTTACTAGGCCAGCCTTCTTTCCTCTTTCCTCTCAGCAGTAAGGGAATTTATTATGTATTATGTATTTTTACTGTCCTTCAAATGGGAAGTTCCAACATCTCCAAAGTTAGTTTACTCACGATTAGCATCTGATGAGCACCTGTGCACTTGTGGTAGAGACATTTCTTGAAATGAAGGTAGCTAGCTATTCTGATGCAAATCCATTTTCTTTAAAGATCGAAGTTATTGCATTTTCCGAAATATGCCTAGAAAGCGGTGATTCACTTTAGGTCCAGAACACCATAGTGGCAAGATGAGGGTAAATTAAAAAAATGGCAGCAGTCCAGAACTTTAAGCGGCAAGTTACAAAATGATGTCTGTTACAGTAAGTTAATCAAGTAGTCCCAGAGATCTAAAGCATGTGGCATGCCCACAAGACATATAATGTGATGGAGGTCTCTTAAGAGGTCCATTTTCTGGCTCTCGGACAAACTCAGTTTCTCTTTTCCTCAGAATTCCATAAGTTTTTTTTGGGGTAGCAGGTGGTTATTGTTTTTTAATGAGACCACTGCTAAATCTTGACTTAGGTATGTGTCTTGTTTTTCTTTACCTTGATCTGGCTTCAGATCTTTCACATAGCTGGCAAAGAGTCAGGAAATATGTGAATGTGTGAATGAATGAATGAATAAATCATGACTACTGGATGCTCTCTGTTAGTTTAGAAATCCTAACTCTGGCATAATTTCCTGTTCCTTCTCAGGGCATAAGCTCTTAGAGGGCAGAAATAATGCCTTTTAACCTGGACATCATGTATCTTAGTGCCACTATTACATTTATGAAAATGTTTTACGTATTTTTTCTAGTGTTTTTTTTTTCATAGATATGTCTTATAAATGGTATCCATACAAAGTTATGGATAACATAGAATGTAAAAAAAAAAGTCATTGCACGCTCTTCCTTCTGACTTTGAAGGTAATCATTATTAAGAATAAAATTTTAGTAAAAACATTTTTTAAAATGCTATTTGGTGATTTGATTTTTTTTTTTTTTTTTTGAGTAACAGGTTTAATTTTTCCCCCCGCCGAGGTAAAATGCACAGCAGTATCACATAATTTGGAAGCTGAAAAGAACTTTAGATACATATTTTTTAGAAATTTATGTGTGTCAACGTATTGTGTGAGGGTAGTTTCACAGTAAAAAGTGCCCTGTGGTTCATGGTGTGATCTTGACTGTGTTAGAAAGGCAGTCCTGTAGAGTTCAAGGAGATGTTCAAGGAGTTATAAAGAACTCTTGAAATTCCACCCAGAA